ACTGTACAGAAAAGCGTTATTATTCTTTCATTATTACACAGCTCTTAATCTTTATACAAGACAGTATGTAACTGTATACCATGTAACCCAATGTATACACATGTATGTTGTGTTATATATAGACTAAGAGCTGTGTAATATTGAAAATTTCGAAAAGTAAGTTTTTCTGTATAGTTTCGGAGTTTAATCATTAAGTTATAATTCCTCTACCCTTTGAATGGTTGGAGATAAGAAAGTAAAATAATATATATTCTTAAATAAAATTTAATAATAAACAACTTTTTTCCTCATGGCTTTTTCGTAAAATTAAAAGACAAAAAGTAGGCGAGTAAAATAATGTTAAAAATGTGATGCGAACTTTTTTTTTCTAAATTACGAGAACCGATATCACGGAAACTATATAATGCAGTGAAAAAACTAATATAACCATTTCTATTGCAAATTTTGTCAGCTTTATTTATGTCACATATCACATTATTGTAAATAGAACGCATAGTTTCACTGATATAAGCGAAAAATCGAAAAACTTTTTAAATCATAAATTAAATTTCTCGACTTGAAATCCACGGGTATGGGGTAACTGACTTTTATTTCATGTCTTAAGACTGTAAATGCAATAAATTTAAATGGTTAGTTGCTTTATATTTCTATAAGTCCTCACCACATCTACGCTTACGACCTCTCTTCTATCTTTACATGGCTGCCACTTTGTATTCCAGGGGCTATATGCTGGCAGAGGTCAATTTTTCTCATCAGGCCTGTGGATATGGTCAATTTATAAGGACAAACGTAGTGTGAAATATGACACGATTTTAGCCACGGGCTCAAGGACCAGAGGAAAATTGCCTTTTCCCTAAAAAGAAGTTAGGTTTTACAGTTCCAACTCACAATTTAATCTTCATTTTAATAGCCACAACACTTTCTCAATTGGATACAATGAATAAAAAAAATAATTTAACATAATAAAATTGATTAAATTCCAACTCTCTATACACAAGTGCCACAGATTTATATTGGTGTATATTGAACAATTGGTACATAATGGAAGGAACTATTACAAAAGCTAGGACATCTGATGGTTGTTGTTATACAAAGCTCATCAGTAAGTTGAGGCACATATAACTCTTACACAATGTTATTAAAAGATTACCAATTTCCATGAAGAGAGGAGCGTTATGGCTATTGCCAAATTGGAGGTGAGCGCAGGTAACAAGATGCAATTAAGACATGCTGATGTAGGAATTTAAATTCCCGCTCTCGGTGTTGCTTAAGCGAATGTTATTTCCCAACTCAACTTGCTAAATTCTTAATTAAATTAAAGAAACCCTCTCCTCGGAGTCGTTCAAGATACTATTTTACATAAAAATTCATTTAGCGTTAGAACGGGAACTGCTAAACAGTCTGCCAAGCTTCTATTTAGAATATAAAAAACATCTGTAATTTTCTCCTGGTTCGGTAAAGTACTTAAACTGTTAGCCTAGTTTTTAAAACAGTATTTCCATTTCATTATGTTTGTTGTAAAAGCGTGGTGTAGTGAATGCGATGAACAGGCGGCCATCAGGTGAGAGATCACAGTTCAAAATATTCTGAGAAACAGACAAATTTCTATAAACACTATCGGCACCTGAAAAAAATTACAATGCATGTATTGGAAATCACAATAACAAGATCAGTGAAAGCTTCATTGATTAATGAAAAAAAAAAATGTTTTTCATTCTCCAACCAAACATACTAAATGATCAATAGTTTATAAAATAAAATGATGTTTTGAAAGATAAATAAGTAAAAAGAAGAATCGTTCAAAAGAAACTTTATTTTGTTTTTTTTTCGAAATCTAGAATATTGTAAATTTTTAAAAATTGTTATTATCTATCTTATAAATTGATTAAAATTTGATAAATTTATTAAATTTTTAAATGTATTTTAAAAAGTATTAAATTATCGATTCACTTAACTTCAACAGACATTTAAAATTTACTAGACATTTTGACAAAAAAATTAAAACAGTATGATCTAAGACGTACAGATTCCAAAATTTAATTAGAACAACAAACCTATCTTTACGCCAGATTCTCATCTATTGAAGTATAATAAGGCCGGCTTTATTGTATGGTGCACCTATGTTTGATCATGTCAGCAAAACAACTGGGAAAAGGTAACAATATTTCCAAAACGGAATAATCAGGAAAATAGAAAGAGAAACCACGACGCAGAGAATGAAAGCAGTGGATAGGCAAGCAAAGCTAAATTTATCAACAGTAAAAGAATTTCTTTCTAAATGAAAAAAATCATTTTTCGAAAAGCCTCAACAATTGACAAACCATCTTTTCAACAACAACTTATTGCCAGTCGAAAATTACAAAACGTTCGCAACAACTTACATAAGATAGGTTTTTTAAATTTAGTAGTAAGTTCTAGAGGATAAAATCAACTCAAGCCTGAGGTGAGCCCCATCACCGATTATATTACAGATATAGAATAAATACTCAGAAACGACAAGAAAGCAAAATATGACTTGCAATGCTTTTTAGCCGTTAAAGTATTATTAAGTAGACAAAAAAAAATCCAAGAATTCAAGACAAAGATAAATAAATAAGGGGCTATGAAAAAAAAAGGTATTTTAATACCAAATTAACAAAAAAATTATTAAATTATCGAATGACTTAACATATTTCGGTATTCACTTAGCAAGACTTTTAAAATTAACTTGACATTTTGACAAAAAAAATTAATACAGTAAGATCTAAGATGTACAGACTCCAAAATTTAATTATAATAACAAACCTATCTTCACGCCAGATTCTCATCTATTGAACGGCCGGTTATGTTGTATGGTGCACCTATGTTTGATCATGTCAGCAAAACAACTGGGAAAAGGTAACAATATTTCCAAAACAGAATAATCAGGAAAATAGAAAGAGGAACCACGATGCAGAGAATGAAAACATTGGATATACAAGCAAAGCTAAATTTATCAACAGTAAAAGAATTTCTCTCTAAACGAAAAAAATCATTTTTCGAAAAGTCTCAACAATTGGCAAACCCTCTTTTCATCAACTTATTACCAGAAAAAATTCCAAAACGATGGCAACAACTTACATAAGATAGGTTTTCTAAATTTAATAGTAAGCTCTAGACGATAAGGTCAACTCAAGCCTGAGTTGTGCCCCATCACCGATTATATTACAGATATAGAAAAAAATATTGAGAAACGACAAAAAAAAAGGGAAAATACACCTTACAATGCTTTTTAGCAGTAAAAAAAATTTACGAAGACAAAAATAAAATCTAAGGATCCAAGATGAACATAAATAAAAAGGGGCTATGATAAAAAGAAAAAAAATGTATTTTACAAACATATAATATTATATTTCATCATAGTGTATTTATTGGTTTCTATATTGGAAAATTGTATTTATTTCACAGCTGGATGAATTTCAAATCTATCATACTTCTGATTATCCAAGTATATATGAATTCGGTACTATATAAAAAAAAAAATATCATAATGCTATAATGATTACAATTAGTTGTTCCTTTGTAAACGATAGATTGCTAAAACGATTTTGTCCTGGTTTAAGTGATCTTACCTTGTTTTATTAGGCGACACTAATATAAGGATTAAACTAGTACGAGAAATAGTGTCAAAACGTGGATTAATATTTTTTATAACCTCATAGTTTGAAAATGTGTATTGGTAATAAATTTCTAGGTCTTAATTTTCTCGTTTTATAATTTAATCAAGAATCAAGAAAAATATTTAAGTAATTTTCAAATATTTTACTTGTATCTCAATTCAAAAGCAGTCAGCAATCACGGTTTAGAGCAGAATTTTGTAAAAGCAAAATTGTTTTCGTTAAATTTTTATTTGTAATTTATTGCCTCTCTTATATCGCAAGTGTTTAGCAATATTTCTTATATTTATGTTCTTATATTTTGTTTCTATTTCAAACTTCTTGTAAATGGAAGAGGGATGTTTGTGAGCTGGAAAAAAACAAAACAAGAAAATTAAAGTTTTCTTTAAATGTTTATTTTCATTATATGGATTACAGTACAGGTGACGCGGTTAAGATAGTGTAGTGGAATGATCGACTGGAATCCTTCTTTTCCCTGCAGAAGAGAATGGACAGGTCTCGTTCGGATTTCCTTTGGCTAATTAAAACTTTATCTCATATCGTCGGTTTACTGCAAAAAGTTACAAGTGCATTTTTGATGTATCAGATGTTTTATGAACGTTTTTTCAGAATTTCTACCATATTCATCGATATAAAAAACATAGTTAATTTACTAAAATGACACAAACTCTTTTACTTATGGAATATATTTAACAAGCACACAATTTTTTAATTTCTCAAAGAGAAAATTTATCAATGTTCTTAGTGATTTATTGTTATAACACGTTAGTTAATGATATTTTGCAATATACTTTTAGTTTTCAATATTTTTATATACTTATTATTTTGCTCTTATTTATTTATATTTACACTAAATATGGTTTGAATGAGGTTTTATATCATTATGACTATGGTTCTTATTGTGGCAGATTGATATTTTACTCAATAAAATAATTTCGAAAATAAAAAAAAAAAAATTATAGAAAACAATTTTTGTTAATTTTTTTATATTACTAAATCCATTATTAAAACATGAATTTTATTTTATTATCAACAGACCACCTCGTAGCTTTTACTCCTTAATAGAACTTTTTCACCTGCAAGGCTTTCTTTTGAGTCTTATATTGGTCTCTGATTATGATTAGATATTCTTAAAAATTTTCATCCTTAGTACCGTCTTTTATGAATTTCACAAAACCATTATCCGCATGGATGATATGCTATATTATCCGTCTAGGAACGTCTTCGTCCAATGTCATCAGCGACCGGAGGTGTAGCTTACGGTACTAGCTACTAGCTACAGTCACTACCATCATCTTATGTAAGGATGACGGATCGTCGTCCGGAGGTGTTAGTGAGTCCTTGATGGCTGACGAGTGACGTCTGATGGAGTACGACCTTTCGGCAGAGTCAGGGTGCCATCATCAGGGAAAGGTGAAAAGGAAGCATGAAGATCTCATCATAGCTCCCGACCAAACCACACAGTCACCAGCTACTTTCACGGAATCTCATTGAGGAGAAATTTCTTTCAAGGGCTCCTCCCATACGGCGCACGCGTGTACCGGTTGCATAAGGGACACAGGTGCATTGTCTTTGTGTCTGCGGTCTATGGATCAAGTACAGTTCGCTCTTCTTTTTAAGCAAAACTCTCTCTTGTAAAAATTGATTTATAAAATGTCTTCCAAGACCTGATTTAAGTCTTTAAGAACTATGCAAGGTCCTTCATTTTATTAATCTTTATTATTTCTTGAAACCTCTTAGATGACTGCCAAGGGAAACTTATCACATGTTTAAGTTTTGGAAATTTAAACATTGCTGTTTCTAATAATCTTCAATGAACTAAAAATCTATTGAGAACGTAGATTGTAGAGGATAGCTGTTAAGGATTTCGGATAATATAAGAGAAAACGTCTTGATGTTTTATATATATATATATAAAAATAAGGGATGTGCTTTAGACCACGCGATAGAAGTGAAACCATCAATAAGGCGTGATTATTAAAAGATTTTGTTTTTTCGTTTTCCGCTACAGATCTTGTAGATCTTTGACCGCGAGGTATGGTCGTATAGACCACACCCCGATTACTGATTTAATATACTTGTGTAGTGTCATCACTCCTACGCCTTAGGTCGGTTTTTCGGCAGTGAGTGGGCGGATTAAACCTCCAGTACGCTGAACGGTCACTCACAGACCGGGTCGGACGACGGTGCAGTGGACGCGTTGCCATCGGCAACCGCCCACTCGGGCATGGCTTTTCTTGGTGGAAAATCACCAAAATCAGGTGGTCACCCATTAAAGTAAAAACCACGCTCGGCGTTGCTTCACTTGGTTGCCTATTGTAAGCTTCTTATCTCCCTCGGCTACTCCAGCCCCTTATAAAGAAAATATAAATTATAAATAATAGCTCAGTATAAAGAGGATGAAATTCTGAACATTTCGTTTACAGTATGCAGATCCGATTTTTTAGTTTCAGGGATATTTTAATCCATATCTTCAACAAAACTCGTTATCATTAGTTTTTCGACACTTTTTTTTTCCTTTTCGGCTTCCTAAAACGTTGCGTTAAGATAAAATTTTGAATAACAGCTCATTACAAAGATGAAATGATGAACATTTCCCTAACTAACAATATGCTGATCCGATTCTTAGTTTTTGCGATATTTTTATCCATACGCAAAAATACTTCAATTATTATACCCCAGCCGAAATAACCCTAAACTTACATATCGGAGATCTGACGGCTCAATCCAATTCACTCTCCAATAAAAAAAAAAGTGCGAAAGGCTTTGTCACTTAAAAAAAAAATCTAAGAATGACTTGAACTTTCAGTTATAGACTTCTGTACTCCTAGTATTTGAGAACGGCAATTTTTTTTTTCTGCATCAAACAAATACGTCTTGAGCGAGAATAATAACGTGATAGCATAAGTTCAGCGATTTAACTATTAAACAGGTGAAATATTTTAAAGTTGGATAATCTAATCGTGTATTAAGTAAATCGTTACATAAATTGCCGTGGCAAGCTTCAAGAATGTGTTGAATAAACTTTTCGAATAAACATATCTCGTTAGTTACGGAATGGACTTAATCCGTAACAAACAACAACAATTTTATCTCTTAATTTCTCACAGCTCAAATCATAAAAGCACAAATTCCTAGATAGCCAGGTCAAGCTATCTCTGATAGCTTAGAAATAGTCATCTAGAATGTACTGACTGGATAGAAGACACTTATCAAGACTTAGGGAACAATAACCGTTTTCAACAAAAGAGCACTTTCTCATAGACTTCATATCAATTCTAAAAGATAAGGATATCAATTCTTAATAGTTATAACTTCATTCACAAGCTTCCTAGACCGTCCAGAATTGATTCATTCCCCCTACTATTCCTGAGCATGATAATCAGACCAAACCACTCATGTAGTTAATTCTCTTGATGTCATATTGATACTCTTCACTGCAGGAGGCCTGGAGTGAACACATTTAGTCAACTCATATATCCATATTATATTACTCTGTATTTTTAGATGTCATTTGTAACATTATGAATAAAACCATAATTTATAAAGTTTCCACTGCCTCCGATTCGTTAACTGTTGACACCGCTTAGACGTTGACGTATTATGCTAGAACCATTGTAACTATCTAATGTGAGAGTTATCACAAAGGTATACTAGTCAATAAATAAATGAAACATATATAAAATTGACTAGACGAGGGATCTGCAGACATTTTGGCCCGCGGGACACATCCAGACCTCCATTAACTCCTGCGGGCCACATTTAGAACAGGCGATGGCGTGTGATGAAAAAAAAAATTGTCCCATACACAGACTTCAGTTGTGGAATAAGTTTTCTAAAAATATATGCTCATGCAATAAATGTTGTAGTACTACTCCCTCGAGTGAGTCATTTGCTAAATTACATAATTTTTTAATAGTTTTTAAAATGTTATTATGTAATCAAAAAAACGTTCGCGAGGTGCTTGCAGGCCGGATCAGGCCCACGGGCTGTGGTTTGCAGATCCCTGTCCTAGACAAACTATAAATCAAAAGAAACAAACAATCTAATAACATAAACTGAATAATTCAACGGTGGTTATAAAAACAAGCCATGTACTTTTTTTTGCGCTGACAATTTCATGGTTGTTCTGAATATCCCTAGATTAAACTAAGTTATTCTTTTAAAAAACATCGTCTACAAGAGAACTATGATAAAGAGAATCAGCAATAAGAGTTCAGTCGCAGAGTCACGTTGCGTTCTATGTAAATATATAACAGAAGAAAAGGAGGTGAACGTCAGCCAGGCGATAAGGATGATGAAGAGACGCTGGAAGAGCTGAGAGTACAGAGTACTGGCTGGAGCTGGAGAAGTTGCCTTTATCTGCAGCTGGCTCCTGTCCAGGGCCATCTCTTCGGCCTCTCCACTCTTGTTTACTTCTTCAAGCCTGTTTGTCCTTTCTGCTCCAATATATTTTATTTATGCCCGCTACCTCCGCCACATCTTGTCCTAGTCTTCTTAGCTCTTAAGAGGGCATCGCGATATAAAGTAATGTGACTTTGGATGTTGCAACATTGTAACAAATAAACAGATTTACAAGTATGCTTATATATAAATCGTTTTTTTTTCTAAAGTGAACTGATATCAATTTGTTATCTTCTTTGGAATCATGAAAAGTATAGATTCCTGTATGAAAATACCCAATTATTACAGAGGTATATATATATATGTTTTTTTCAAAAACCAACTTAAATATTTTTAAAATTGTTTAAAAATAATTCCAATATTCAAATATTCCAATAAAAATATTTCCAAAACTAACAATTTTTTTTTCAAGGAATGGATTGATACTTCCATATCGTAAGAATTAAAATAAAAAAGTAATTCATCAAAGGCTATATTACCATGTTACTGGAAGGAAAATTAAAAAATAAATTTATTTTATTGTGCCATTGTTGTGAAAAAAAGTTAAATTTTTATAGTAAAATTTTAAACCTTTTTTTCCAAATGACACACTCTTTTTTTCTCCCCAATCTGACCTTCATCCAACACATTTTTTGTTCCAAAATATATTTTGAATTTAATCGTTCTCAATGCGGTTATATATATATATTTTTTTTTACTACTATTAAAATAATAAAAACTTTTCAGAAATATATACTACAAATAAAAAGTATCTTAGTTAATTTAAAAAATTTTTTTTTTTGCTTTTGATATTAGAGCTGAAACAGAAAACATGTATTTTCACAATTCATGAAAAAATCTCAATAATGATTAGGATTCACTAAGAAAATAAGTTACTTATATGTATAATCATAAATATTTTTTTTAAAAAGTAATAAAATATGTATATGGTACTGGTAATGGTAGTTCTATTGATAAGTGATGTAGTGGACCTTATGTTACTATTTGCCACAACTTGCTCGGGCATTGTGTCTTCAATAAAATGTGAAGGAGAAGTAAATAATTTGAAGTGAAACTGAAAAAAAAAAAGCAGACATGTTTGTGAAATTTGTAATATTTATTTATTGATATTTATGTAAATCACATATAACTAAACCCTTTGAACTGCACATAAGTTCTTAATGTCACTAATGGTTACTAATACCTCTTAAACTAAATGGAACTTCTCATGAATAAAAATGTAATATTTTATAAATGTTCTATCGTATTATTAGATCTTTCAATAGAAGATAAATAGAAAATAACTTTATTTTGGCACAAAGTCTGTTTAAATAAAACAAAATTAAAATATTACATCTGGCCTTAATAAAAACAATAACAAAAAAGTTTATTGAAATGATAATGTGTTTAGTAAAATCATTTTATTTTCCTGTACAAAATATTAATATTTTATTTTTTCCATTAACTTTAACTGGTGGAGAAATGTTTTGGTGCAGGGCTACTTCATATAATAACAAATTTTGTTTATGTGTTTTAATTGTATTATACTTTAGTTGGTTCCAACTCTCAGCTCTTTCCTAGTTTTGAGTATTATAAATTTTAATAGCTTGTGATTAAAATGAGGTTGGCTAAATCCATGAAAATCTGAATTGTTATGTAAAACACACAACCCACATATTTGGCACATTATTGGCTCCGATGGAGTACAACCGGAGCTATTTCAACATCTTAGTCAACTGTGCTGATTTTGAGATGCTGCAACATTTGTGTCCGGCTTTATATCCGTTTCGAACAGAAACATTCGATAACACCAATGACTTAGCAGTTGTATTATATGTCCTAATGATGTAATACGAAATATGAATGATTCAAACATTAAATACTTGGTAAATTGCTTAATTTGATAAATAAAATAAATAAATAAAATAACATCTTACAATGATTTTTAAATTTCGACAAATTTTGATTATAGTATAAAATTTGAAATAAATCTAAATAACCATTGAAACGGATAAAATTCAGTTTATAAATCTACAAAATGGTTTAGTTCCATTTCTCAAATATATTATTTGAAAATTAATAAACAATACTACAATCTTAAATAAAATATTTTTGAATAATGACAAAATTTTTAATAAGTATTAGACACAGACTGATATATATATATTTTTTTTTTCGGTTGGAGCAGCACAACTTTATGATCTTTGACCGCAAGATGTGGTCTCCTAGACCCTACCCCAGCCCCTAGATACATGATATATATATATATATATATATATATATATATATATATATATATATATATATATATATATATAAGATATACATAAAATATTATTCCTGTTAGCTTTAGTGTCCTTGTAGATCTTTTATCCGCCTTAACCAGCATTGAAAATATCGACCTTTCTTGGACTACTGCATTCCAGTCATTTCTGCTGCATCTTTGTTAATTCTATCTATCTGGTTTTTGTCCTTCCACGTGTATACTCGCCTACTATTGAGACATTCATTGTTGTATAGCACATTTCTGATGGATGTTCCAATCTACATGCATGGCCCTTCAATCTCGTTAAAAAAAAAAAAAAAAAAAAACCTGTACCACTACAACCCATAAAGGGTGTGGGGTTCAGTACTATTTAGGGAAAGCACTGTTTCTAGGTCAACGGTTGTGCAAGGAGGTGATTTGACCAAGACCACGCTCAACCGCCAGGTTTTCCCCCTTAATCAATTATTTAATTAAGGGTACCCACTTTTATAGAGGCTGGGTGTGCCCCAGGAGGGACTTCCAACCTAGGGTCACCCCACGGCCAATGAAACAGATAAATAAATTTTCTGCCATGAGCCGGGGTTCGAACCTTTGCATTGGAAGCTCAGTGCCCTACCACTGAGCTACCCCACTCCCCAACCGTCATAAAAACCTTCTTTCAACATCCTTGCCTTCATAAAAAAATGTTGTGTTAATTTTTTTTTCACTTGATTTCTTCAACCACACCTGTCATAAGTAATGATAACCAGCGAATTGATTATTAATAATGTATATAATTAATAATCATTCCGTTTATTTCATGTTGGTAATAATATTGTTCAGAAACACGACAATGACGAACTGTGCCAAAGTAGACATTTAGTTCACGAGTAGCTGGTGAGTCAGCATTGGCACACTGTACGCTATACGGTGGAATGAATAACAAATTCCAAATTGAAATGAGCACCACATGAGATGATAATTTAACGGCAAATCACACTATTAAATCCTATTTTCTCCACCTAATACTAGACATATTATGTATCCATTTGTAAAATGCATAATTATAATAAAACAAAGAATTTTTTAAAAATTTATTTATTAACTAAAAGCCTTTATCCAACAATAAAGGCCTTAATAATTGGTAAAATACCTAACAACCAGATAGTTAAATCGAATTAACAAAAATGCAACAGAACTGCGCACAGATAACTGGAAAGAAATAGCTTATGATAGACAGAAATAAAGAAGGCTGGTTAAGATGGAAAAAGATCATCAAGGTCTGTAATGCTAACAGAAAAAAAGAGTTATTTATTTAATTCTATGTGTCCATTTTTCCTAGCCGATGGAAGAATTGAAATTTCCGGAAATAACGTCCGATGAAATTGGGTTAATAAATTCCATTTTATTAAATCACTTAGTTACTAAAATGACTAAAAAAGGACGCAAATAAAAGAAGAGAGGAAAAATACAGTTTAAGATACCTATGAATGCGAATTTTGAATCAATTGGTTTAAGTATTTAATCTGTAGCCAAGACAAAAACGAAGAAAAGCAACAAGACTTCAAACCAAGAAAAATGTCAACTAAAATTATATTTCGGTTCCCTGAAGTTTGATTGAAATGGAAATTAAATTTTTTTTTTTGTAGTGCGACGTCTATGTACCTATGTATTGAGTAGGATTTTTTTCCCACGACGTAAATTAAAAAGTATAGATTTTATGAAAAATTATATTTAAAAGGTAGATCATCTTATGGTACTTGTTAAATATCCGGTCGGGTTCGACTGCTATCTGCCAATGTTTAAAATTTTAATCTCCAAGTCCTGACCAAGAGGTTTTATTGGTAATTTAATTACCTTTCAAAAGTTTTTGTATAAATTTTACCATAGAATATAAGCTTAGCGAGATAGGCTCCAGACCTTTTTCTTTTCTTATTAACTTTTTGCCTGAATTTTCTCGGGAATTTAGTACACGTACGAAAATTGAAAGGGCAGTAATTAGGAAATTGCAGAAAAGTTTCATCATAATCGTTAGAGCCACTTTTGCGCCACAGTATATAAAAAAGTATGTTTTTCACTTATTGCGCATAAGTGAAATGTAATGAAAGCGTGTAATAAGTCGCTATCCATTTTGTGTAAAAGGCCTCAGTATTCAAACCCTAAAAAATAAAAAAAATAAACTACAAAATTGGTTTATTAATTCTTCAGATAGACTTGACACAATCAGATAGACCAATGTCTGAAAATGTGAGACCTAAGAGACTGAAACGTACAGATCCGTCGAAAACTGCACATCGGAAATTCAATCCGATCGCAATACTTTCCTGAACTGGTATAGGTAGGAAAGTAAAAAAAAAATATGCAAAGAAAAAAAATTCGGTACTTACAATTTGATTAATTTATTATAATTGTTTGAAAATAAATAATTATCAAAAAATAACTCAACATAAATTAAATCTTATTCATCTTTGGGTTAATGAAAACCAGGAATGTGTTAGTCAGAACATTGATGCGGCATTCCCAAGTTTAGTGAAAGTATTAGTCACACAGATCCTTAAAGCCGAATGTGTTACGCAAGGACGACATCACAGAACCTCGATCCAAGGTCTTTTTCAGTCCTCGGGTTCTTCAGATACCGATCCCTGCCGATGACCCGGGGTGAAGGCGGGTGAAGAGAGAAAGCCGGGGAGAGCGTTGGGTGTGGTAGTGCAGTCATCTCTTCCATTCTATATTTGAATTTGCGTTTCACCTTTTACACTTGATGGATGTCCCCACTCTGTTCTGGAACCTTATCGATACCGAGTGTTGTAACATGGAGAATTTATATGGCGGTAATATCATTCAGTTCAGGTACATGATAGTTGTTAGAAATAGGAGGAGATATCGACTGTGGTTTGAATAATTTTCA